ATGTCGAATGAAAAAGGGATTATTAAAAATATTATTTCTCATAAAAAAATTGTGTTGATTCATACACTTTTCAGTAAGTTATAGCATTATTAAGTTAAAAATGTAAAAAATAAAATTGAGAATCTTCACACAAAAAGCCATTTTCACCGTGAAGACAAAATAAAGTCCGAATTTTTTTTTCATAATAAAGTGCATTATATTAGCTTTAATTTAAGATATATATAAAAGTGTCCGACTTTCTGAAACACTTTCAAAAATTAAGTGTAAAAGTTCTACTTTCTCTATGCATTTTTATGTTTTGAACCCCCTGTATTAAGGGAAATGGTCCGATTTAAAAAACAAGTATGTCGAATTAAAGAGGTATATAAATATTATTTCTCATAAAAAAATTGTATTGATCTATTCATTTTTCAAAGATTTATAGCGTTATAAAGTTAAAAATATGAAAAAGAATATTTTTACAAAAACCGTATTTTTTTTATTAACTTTGATGACTGTTTTCACCGTGAAGTCTGAAGTTTTTTTTAATATTAAAATATATTACATAAGCTTTAATTTAAGATATATATAAAAGTGTCAGTATTTCCGGAACATTTTCAAAAATCAAGTTAAAAAAGTTAATTTTTTGTGAAAAAGTTGTAATTTTTAATCCCCCTCTGTGGGCTGGTTAATTGTCAAATTTACAAAAAAAATATACCAAATGATAGAAAAGACATCAAGCATCTATAAAAATAAATTATATTGATTTGTTCATTTTTGTAAAAGTTATGGCAGTTTTAAGTAAAATAATTTGAAAATTAGCGATTTCTAAAATTTGTAATTGTTCTGAAGGTTTCACCCATTTAAGGGGAACGAGGGAAATTTTTTCAATTTTTGAGGGTAATGTCTTCGACTAAATACGATTTGTGATCTTTTGACGTATCATTGAAAGAAATCAGTTTGGTGAGAGCTGAGAAAATGTGGTAACAGACACAAAAAAAAAAACATCAAAGTAAAATTAATACCTTCTCAGCTTCGCATCGAAGCTAAAATGATATTAATTTGTTCATTTTTTAAAAAGTTATGACACTTTTAAGCATTTAAATATGTTATGTTAAACAGTGATTTTAGCTTCGATACAAAGCTGAGAAGGTATTAATTTTACCATGATGTTTTTATTTTTTTTTTTTGTGTTTGTCACTATTTTTCCTCAGCTCTCACTAGACTCATTTTTCTCAACGATACGTAAAATTATCAAAAATTGTATTTAGTTGAAGATATTATCCTCAAAAATTGAAAATTTTGACCTCATTCCCCATAAATATTGATAATCCCCCTAAAAAATACGATTTTTAGAATCGGTAATTTTTTTTTTTTCTAAAAATTGCAATAACTTATTGAAAAATGAACCAGTCAAAATAATTATTTTTTATATTGAAATCTTACATATTTCCTTTTCATTTGTTAAACATTTTTTGACAATCTAACCCTTTACCTAGTCACAGTGGAGGATTCCAAATTGCAACATTAGCATAAAAATTTATCATTTTCAACTTCGGTTTTGAAAATGTTCCCGAAATACTCCGAGCTTCAAACATATGTTAAAATAAAAATAACTTTATACACTATAAGTTCAAAAAAAAAAATTTGTCCCGACAACTTATCTTTTATGTGCAAATGGTTGCCGTAGTTAAAAAACATGCTATTTTTGTTAAAATTCTTGGTATTGTATTTTAATTTATTTTAAAATACCTTATAAGGGAGTTCACTGATTTTCATGAATATTATATAAATCTAATTAACATAGAATATAATGTTAAACTCATTTCAATTTTTTTTTTTCTATTAAGTCGAAGAAATTAATTTTAACATTTGAATCAGCTTAAATTGCTAATTTTATCAAATAACGAAAGCGACCAACGTTTGCTGATTCACTAAAAAACATTTTATGGCAATCATTTTTTGGAATTTTTCCGTAATGATTTTTGAGTTAGAATTTTGCTTTTGAATAATCAACCTATTCCTTAAAATTAAACATTATCTATAAATTTGCATCGAAGCGTTTCTTATGATAGTAATTTTAATCACTGTAAGATATCATCAATACTAGAGCATTGAGTTGGAATTTATTCATTTATGTTAATGTTTTTAGTTAATTATGATGTAATATTTTATAAAGTACGTGACTGTTACTGTTAATGACAATTTAATTTTAATAAAAAAAAGACTTGACCACTGATTTGTAGTTTAATATTTCGTTAGTGACCGTTACATTATAATTATTATTTTTTTTCATTACTGACAACACTTATCCGCCTGGTCGAACCTGGACTTAAAAACCCCAGTTCACCACGTGATGGCAAAATTTAAGAATAATAAATAAGATCAGTAGCATACTCAAGAAGAAGCTAAAACGGCTAAACACCATCCATTAGCAGTACTTCACTAATATTTTAAATAAGAAAGATTACTTAATTTTTTTTTTTTGGTATTAGTTCCCATCCTCATTGAAAATTCCTAAGTACCTGATAATATATGATAATCGTGTTGTTTATTTAAGCATAAGTTAATTTTGGTGTAGATTTGATTTAATAAAAATATTATTTTATTACATCAAATTTAATTGCGGTGAATAGTAAAATAGGATTTAATGATTATTTTTTAGAATAAAAATCAAGGTGAAGTCAGTTCAAACTTAAGACATTTTTTTTCTTGAAAATAATATATACAGAGTGATTTTTTTATCATAACCCACTCAATTACTTACAGAATAATAATAATTTATAAATTTTTTTTTATTATTATCTTTAGTTACACATTATTCTTGAATTATTAACAATGTAATACTTTTTTAGTTCATCCCTTATGCCTGGTAAGGGTGTCAACTTTGTTTTTTTAAATAGTAACACATATTTTTAATTTAATAAAATGTTTGAGTTTTTAATTCAATAGTAAATGGCATTTGAATTTTTAATGAAACTTAATTTGTTTATTAGATATAAACATTTAAAGTTTCTAATTTTTGAGTTAATATATAGGTATAATACACAAGGGATTACAAATATAAGTAGCTAATTGGTTTTTTATGATATTGCTATCACAGTCACGGATTGTTTATTATCAATTATGACCAGTGGTGTAGTCCTAAAAATTTTTATGGGTATACACCTATATTATGAAAAGAGAATAACGTGGGGGGCTCTGCCCCCACACCCCCCATTGCACTTTATATTTTCTACATACAATATTTCACAATTATTTTGTTGAACTTTTAACTTTATACATTATCAACAGTGATATAGTCGTAATTTGATCAATAGATAAGTTAAAAACCTATATGAGGAAACGTGGAGTATTTCACCCCCACACTACTTTTCAAAGGCCTTAACTATAACATAGTTTTGGGGGACGGAATAAAAATATTGTGATGTTTTAACTGTGTTAAAAATATGTATTTTCTAAATATTACATAATGCAACTAAAACTCCTAACCCTCCCAGATACGGCCTTGCTCCTTCCAATTTCCAAACTATTACTCGAATATTTTTACTGACACTTCTAAGTTCTTAAATAATTAAATTTCATAGTAATATAATCGATATGTGTATTATTAGATACTGTTATATTTGTAACGTGACAAAAAGTATCTATTTATTTTTTTGTCTATTTGTATAGACATATATATATATATATTTGTGTTGAGCTGAATGCGTATTGCGACGGCATTTATCAGTTTGTGCGCGCGCGAGATAATCAGCTGTGTACTACTTCGGACCGGTTCATGGACGGCATTTGTGTGTACATTCACCCCGCTCTTTTCCTATCTTGAACTTTATTTGCACTGCTCACCGCATATATTGTCGCCTTATGATTTAAATTGTTCTTATTAATTTCCGGCACTGGGTATTTAGTTTTTTTTTTACCTCTACTTTAAAGGCTAGTCGTGTTGTCGCCAACGGACTGCCGGGTCAAATGCCGGACATTTTGTTGGAATTAGCCATCGTCGGAACTGGTACGCTAATTTTCGTCCGTAGCGGTTTTTTTAGTTGTGTGCGTTAAAACAGATTGTTTTTTTTTATTGGCGCCGGCTATACCTGCCTCCAGTTTCTTTTTATTTTATTCTTTAGTCTATACTCTTCAACTATTTTATAAATACGTATATGCACTAATAAGAAAACTAACAGTGGGTATACGCCGTATACCCGCGTATCACTCATGATTTTATAAGTATACGCAATAACAGAAAAACAAAGAAGTGGGTATACACCGTATACCCGCGTATACGCTCCACGACACCTCTGATTATGACTATCAATAGATATACTTTTTGTATTGTCAGTTTTAAACTCACAACAATGTACCTTACTATCATTGATAATAACAATGCTGTGTACCTGCTAATATCGATGTCATAAAAAGCCAATTAGCTACCTGTATTTGTAATACCTTGTGTATTATACTTGTATATTAACTAAAAAATTTGAAACTTTAAATGTTTATATCTAATAAAAAAATTAAGTTTTATTAAAAATTCAAATGCCATTTACTATTGAATTAAAAACTCAAACATTTTATTAAATTAAAAATATGTGTTACCATTTAAAAAAACAAAGTTGACCCCCCTCCAAGGCATAAGGGATGAACTTAAAAAGTATTACATAGTTAATAATTTAAGAATAATGTGTGACTAAAGAAAATAATAAAAAAAAAATTTTTAATTATTATTCTGTAAGTAATTGAGTGGGTTATGATAAAAAAATCACTCTGTATAGAGAGCGGTAATCAAATAATAAAGCTTATTAAAAATATATTGTTTTTTATTCAGCTCATTACAATCTGAAATAATATCCTAGGGAAAAATTGAGTTTTGTAATGATTGAATTTTTGTGTACTGAAATGTTTGGTAAAAATATAAGTACCAATATAAAATATGTATCTGATTTACTTTGATACCGTGTGAATTTTTTGAGAGCCCTGTATATTTTAAAATGACTTATCAGTAAAAAGGTTATCAATTTTTAAATATTACATTTATTATTAAGTCATGCTCTGACATATGAGGTAGCTGCCGTCGCTTAGAGAAATTAAGGTAATTCGTCTAATTTATCATGCATATCTATTTATTTGCATAATATTGAATTATTATTAACTATTTAGATGACATATTCTAAAATTTATTTCGAAGCTCTTTACTTTGTTATTGTCGATTAAAAATGTTAATTTTTATACATGATTGATAATAAGTTATATTATATTATCGTCACATCATTGGTTTAACCTATAGAACTATCAATAATAGAAGGGTTATATTAATTTTCTCAATTAATTTAATTCTTATAAAATTATGTAAGTATTGTATTCATATTTTAATTTTTAACTGGTATTTTAATTACCAAAAATACTTTTTTACCTTTTGACAAAAACCTTAAATTTTTACAAAATATTACTATTTTGTGAAAATCTTTCTATTTGACCTATATAAAATTGTTTATATTATTTTATACTATTTTTGAAAATATACCTGTATAATTTAAAATTGTTTTGTCTGATAGTTTATTAAATATTTAATACAATATATTTGTTAAATTTAACTTTCATAGTAAATATCTTACATATTTAATTTTCATAATTTAATAATTTTATTATTTTATAATAATTTCTGACAATACTATATAAGAAGCTAATTGTAAAATGCTTTTCTAAATTTTTATAAAAAACATTGTTGGTATATTATGGTGGTAATCACAATATTTTAAATAATAAATACATTTTATTTGTTCATACAATTACACTTTAATTTCAAATAGACTATAGTGAAATTCATTAGAACTAATTTCTAAATTTTAAATCTAGAAATTTTTCAGATTACTGATAGTTTTGTGTATAATATATAAGAAAATTCATATTTAATCAAATTTGTCAAATTGTGAATAATTTATTTCTTGGTATTCCTATTAAGTAGAATATGTAATTTGTAACCATGGGTGTGGTTATATATTAGTGCATGCATATAATATAAATATATACTATATCAAAGATAAATTTTTTATTCATTAATTAGATATTAATTGATTTGTCAAATTTTTTCTTAAGCTTTTATAATTTTAATAATTATAAAGAAGAAATTAATTAAAAATAGTTGGTTTAATTTTTAAAATAACCAAAAAAAAATTATTTAATTTGAGATAACATGTTTTTATCTTTTCAAATTAATTATGTCATATACCTTTTTATATTTCTTACACTTTGATTATCTTATTTACACTGTCTTTTACATGTGAATTGTATAATTAAAATAAAGTAGGAAAAAAAATGTATAATAAATTTGTTTTTATAATATGTAAGATATATAATTTATCTTCTATATATATAGAAGTATATTTTTAATAACAACTTTAAATTTTGGAATTTAAGCAGTCTTATTAGGTATTGATAAATAAATGAATTGATTGTATAGTAGTTCATTCGACTAATTAAACATAAAATACATCTATATATATATATCATTTTACTAAAAGAAGTTTAAATTATGATCTGCATAAAAGATACAAATAGAAAATATTGGTATTTTATAAATTTAAGTTTTAATAAAGAAACACTTAAAAAAAACTTTTTCTTGTTTTTTTATTATTTAACTAATTAATATATATATATATATAGTATATAAGGCTTGAGTAATTTACTATCTTATTATACATTTTTATTAATAATGTGGTAATTTGGAAATATATTTAATTTAAAAATTTATCTAGGTTAGTTGATTTAAAGAGACTTCAATTAAAGAGTCATTATTACAAACATTTTGTTTCATTAGTTACAAACTATTTTTCAAAAATAGCTTATCAAAATAGACAGATGGAGAAATTTAAGTTACCTGATCGGTATAAATCAGGAGAATATAATGTTTGGTAATTCCTTTAATTTATTATTTTATAAATTCAGTGAAAATTGCCTATGTATAATATATATTATTTTTACGATATAGGATTGAATTTATTGGTTTAGCAATGGAATATAAACCTGTAAATTTGGGCCAAGGATTTCCTGATTACAATCCACCATCTCGATTTTCTCAGTATTTATCTGAAGTAGCCAACAAAAGTGGTTTATATAACCAATACACTCGTGGATTTGTAATATTGAAAATTTTTAATTGATTCTTATGTCAATTTGTGTGTATTTTAATTTTATTAAAGGGCCATATACGTTTAGTGAATGCATTATCGAAGCTATACTCTAGCTTAGTCGGGCATTCAATTAATCCAACTTCTGAAGTATTAGTGACTGTTGGTGCTTATGAAGCTTTATATTGTGCAATTCAAAGTCATTTGGAACCTGGAGATGAAGCTATTATCATTGAGCCATTTTTTGATTGTTATGAACCAATGGTTCGCAGTGTTGGAGGCATTCCTAGATTTATATCTTTAAAAAATGTAAGTTTTTAACTTTGTAATTGTATCAAAAATTTCTTTAATCAATATTAATTATAAGTCCTAGTAATCAATGATAACTTCCATTTTCTTTGGTAATTTTTTTGATATTAATATAAGTGATTATACAAAGTATATTCACTTATATGTCAGAGTATATCTGATACCAATTTTACACTCTTTAGAATAGTACTCCCCAGTAGATATTGAAAGTAGAATTTTTTGAAATTTTGTGCAAGTCAATATCAGAGTGTTTCCAAATTTTTCATGAAAAATAAAACTAAATACCGCTAAGTTTCACGACTGACTCACAATTTGATTTAATTTTCCCTTTTTATAATACTTGATACCACTATCTACCTTCAGACCCTGGAAGTGGTGCCATCTAGACACCAATGGTACCCACATTTCGACCCTCTTCTTGATCAGTCGTCTCAACTGATTGACAGTTTTCTATCTCTTCTTCATCATCTGTATCTATTTGGCTCCATGGCTTCATATAGTCAACACCAGATGATGTTCTAATGGGACCTTCAGACTCACCAATTTTGACCATTTCATATCTGTCTGGTCCTCTACGTTTGGTTATTTGGTATGGGCCCAAAAACTTTTTATGAATTTTGGAAAGTGGCTTGAATTGTGTCCTCAAAATAGCAACCAAATCACCTAGGTGATACTTATGTGCTTCCTTTCTCTTTTTATTAAAAGTTTTACGCTGTTCTTCTTGAGCTTTAAAAATTTGATCTTTTGCTTCCTTACGCAATTCATCTCTCTCCTCCACAAAAGCATTTGTATATTCTTCCTCAATTATTTTAGTCAGCTCAAAATATTGAGGATGTCTCATCTCAACACCGAATGTCAACTTGAATGGTGTGTCATACCGATGCTTCTCTGAAAGGAACTGTTTAGTGCAATTTGTATGTGAGCAAAATTCTTGTACTAATGTTCGGGCTGATCCAAACTTAATTTGGTAATGACTGGAATAATAATTGCATTTAATCTTTCTATTTTCCCGTTACTCCTTGGTATTCCTGTAGTAATCGTTACATGTTGGATGTTTTCTTTACTACAGTAATCAGAAAATTCTTGTGAAACAAAAGCTCCTCCATTATCTGACACAATTCTTTCTGGATTCCCAAAAGTAGTAGACAAAGTTTTCATTTTATCAATGGCTTCCTTACATGTAGTAGTCTTGGTAGGAAACAACCAACAAAATTTGCTAAAACCATCAATCACTGCAAATATATATTTGTATCCTTTAGCTGTAGCAGCTAATGGTCCCAAATGATCTATATGATAGGTAACTAATGGAAAATCACCTTTATTAATACTATTCAAGTAACCTTCCTGCTTACAACTTTTTCGACTTGCCAATATACACGGAATACAATTTCTTACAATACTCTCAATTTTTGTTTTCATATTTGACATGGAATATTATACATTGAATATTCTTTCTTCAATAGTTCCTCAACATTTTTACATCCAAAATGTCCTATTTCATGTGCTTTTCTGATTACTTCATTTTGCATGGATCTAGGAACAACAAACAATTTTTGGCCATCTTTCATCTGATACAGTAGATCATGTTCAATTAGATAGTTTTGATGAATCGAAACAGCTAGAACTTCCATCAATGCGCTAATCTCCAAATCCATCTTTTGGGCTCTTCGTAATTTAATCAAAAATTAATTTTCAATCGCTAAGCATACAGGATATTGACTAAGAGCATCAACATGGGGTAAACGAGATCCACTTCGGTGTTTAACTGTATAACTAAATTCTTCAAGCAGTAAAGCCCATCTTGCAACTTTATTCGCCAAGTCTTTATTTTTCATAGTCATTGTAAATGCAGCACAGTCAGTTACAATTTTAAACTGTATACCCAAGAGATAAACTCTAAACTTTTTCAATGCTTCAATAATAGCAAGTACCTCTAGTTCATAACTATGATATCTTTTTTGGGCATCACTGGTCTTTCTGCTAGAATAGTATACTGGATGAAAATTACTATCATAAGCATCATTTTGTAACAATATAGCCCCAAAACCATTAGCACTTGCGTCGATATGTAGTTCCGTTTCAGCATGAGGATTATATATATGTAACACTGGATTATCCATCAGTTTTCTTTTCAGCATATTTATAGCATCTTGTTCTTCTTTTCCAAATTTAAACTTAGCTCCATTATGTAATAGATCAGTCAAAGGTTTAGCAGTCAATGAATAGTCCTTTATAAATTTTCTAAAGTATCCAGTAAGACCCAGAAAACTTTGCACTGCTTTTATTGACTTAGGTAAAGGAAAATTTATAACTGCAGCAGTCTTCAATGTTGAAGGTCTTATAGTATTTTTACAAATTTGGTATCCTAGATATTCAATTTCTGTATGTAAAAATTGACACTTACTCCATTTAATGTGTAGTCCATATTCAGAAGCAGTTTGCAATATTTGTTTTAAAAGTTCAATACTTTCTTCATAACTGCTAGCTAATATTACTAAATCATCCGTATATGTTAATAAAAATCTCTTTTAAATGTAATCTTTGAACACAAAGTTAATATATCTTTGAAAAATAGGAGGTGACACACACAGTCCATAAGGGGTACGCAGAAATTCATATTGCCCACTAGGTGTGACAAAAAATATACTTAATGCTATCTTTATCAACTGGAACATGAAAAAATCCATTTCGCAAATCAAGAGTTGTATAAACTGAAGCTCCTTGTAATTTATCTATTTGGTCATCTATTAATGGCAAAGGGTATCTATCTATGATTATCTTCCTATTTAACATCCTGTAATCTACACAGAGACGTAGAGAGTTATCTTTCTTCCTGACCAAAACTATTGGACTAGCGTAATCAGAACAACTAGGCCTAATAATGTCTTCTTGTAACCATTCCTCTATTTGTTTGTCAACTTCACATATTTTCTCTGGAGATAGGCGCCGTGGTCTTTGATATACAGGTTTTTCATCCATTAATAAAATAACTGTTTCAATCGGTGCATGTTTTACTTTATTTGGTTCATAATCTTTCACTATATTATTAATTTCCTCTGTATAAGTTGATGCACCTATGTTGAGCTCATTACAAGGTATATTAATAGACATTATTTGATTTTCTTCTTCTTCAAATTTAGTTATTCTCACACACTTAGGATTTATGTGCAGTTCAGTACTTGTTTGAAATATAACTTTTCTTACTAACAGGTAACATATAATGGCATTAGTTTCTACACCTTGTATATCATGTAAAATTGTCCAAATAGTAATTCCTCTTTCCGATTGAATATATAATTGAGCCGTTCTCATTAATAAACGTTTACCATAAATTAACTTCTCAGGATCAGACCAATATAGTACACTAGCCATTTCTTCAATTTCTTCTATCCATCAATTAACTGGATAAGCATCATCACCAGAAAACTTTGACAGTGATTCTTCAACATCTCTAAAGCTCAAATGAGATTTGTTATGCTCACAAGTCTCAAAGCAAATACTTCCTCCCGAAGTCTAGAAACTTCGTCCATAGTTTTATTAAAATTTTTATTTTTAGGCATCCCGAACTGTTATATAATCAAAAGGTTTTATCGAATTCAAATTGATGTTAGAAACCGATTAACAATAACTAGATCTTGTAAAAACGAACAAAGAAAAATTGCGCGTTTACTTAACCAAAATGGAGTCGTATACTAATACAATTACAAAAACGTATATATATATATCTTTATATATAAATTAAATAATATTAAAATTCTTCTACCACTGTATCAACATTTTCATTGGCCATATAATAAAATAAATAAATTATATGATTGAAAGGTATAAAAAATGACTATTGAACCTTAATACAAAAAAAATAATACATTTATGTGTTATACCATTTATCATTTGTTTTAAAATAAATAATTGATTTCAAATGTTTAATTATTGGCCAGTAAGAGTTAACAAACATAAACGCGATTTTTATTCACTAATGCGTAATCCAATGGTACAAAGGTGCAGCACCACACAAGTGATGTATATAAATATATATATACAGAGTTATTTTTTTATCTTAACCCACACAATTACTTACAGAATAATAATAATTTAAACATTTTTTTTTTTGATTATCTTTAGTTACACATTATTCTTGAGTTATTAACTATATAATACTTTTTAAGTTCATCCCTTATCCCTGATAAGGGTGTCAACTTTGTTTTTTTAAATAGGAACACATATTTTGAATTTAATAAAATGTTTGAGTTTTTTATTTATTAGCAAATGACATTTGAACTTTTAGTATAATTTTATTTGTTTATTAGATATAAACATTTACAGTTTCAAATTTTTTAGTTAATATACATGTATAATACACAAGGTATTACAAATACAGGTAGCTAATTAATTAACTTAATATTAGTTATTTTAACCAATTTATAAGTACCGAAAGGTGTTCTTACTTTTTAAAATTTATGTTTGTTTTTTATACATTTCTTTATTTTATGAAGACAAAGTTAATTGTGATTGTATATGTTTAGACAAAAATAAATGCTTCAATTTCTCATTCAAGTGATTGGAAGCTAGATCCAGAAGAGTTAAAATTACTTTTCAATTCAAAAACTAAATTAATAATTATTAACACACCACATAATCCACTAGGAAAAGTCTTCGATTTGGAGGAACTAACAATGATTGCAGATCTTTGCAAAAAACATAATGTTCTTTGTATATCTGATGAAGTATATGAATGGTTGGTGTATGAGCCTTCTAAACATATAAGAATGGGTAAGTTTGTGTATAAACTGAATTAGTGCATTATTAAATAATAAAGTATAATTGTGTTCTATTATATCATATACAGAGTGATCAGTATATCATAAACCACTCAATTACTCTTAAAATAAATGGAATATTGAAAAAAAAAAATTTCAATTTCTTTTAGTTATATACAATTTTTGATTTAACAGCTACTAATTACTTTTTAGAATCATCCATCATAACTTTAAGGGGTGTTAACTTTATATCTTTATATGGTTACATACATATTTAAATAACTTAGAAAATAGAAAATTATGTAATTATGAAAATGATTAGTCGATATTAACTTTTGGTCCTATACTTTGGATGTTACTTTCATTTGTATACCTAGGCAGGACGAAGAGTATCCAGCAAAGAGTGTCACCGACAAAACTATTTACAGATAATAAATATATACATATATATATAATCAGTACATAAATTTAACACTCACTCAATCCTACCTAATGACATGTCTTCATGCATCTTACAAAACAAATGAAAACAGCGATAATTAAACTTATTCTAAATAAGTAAGATTTACATATAATGAAAATTCAACTCAGTGACCTAGAGATCATCACAACAATATATAATTTTGGTTTTCAACTTGTATTAAATAGCTGTAAGGGTATCAAATTAACTTTCATATTTATATAGTATAACACTGCAATTTTAAATTCTTTAGTAAAATAATAGGAGCGTGGTGTGGCACGGTGGTCACACTAGTTGTTGAAAAAACTCTAGTGTTAAGCCGCGTTTACCACCGTAGGTGAACGGATGGGTGACCATGCGTGCACTTCTATGGTGGCGAAAAAGTACCATGTTCCTAGTGCAGAAGGCAATGGGATACCTCTGCACTTAAATTTCCCGAGGATATACCAATGGTATTAACCAACCTAACGGTTGTAAAAAAAGAAGTAAAATAATGTCATATAAAGGGAAAATACAGGGTAAAATAGTTAACAATGGTGGCATCAATGTAACTATGTAACTAGAAGAAATTAAAAATTGTTTTTTCAATATTGTATTTCTTTTGTAAGAAATCGAGTAATTTATGATTAATCGATCAATGTGTATATATATATATATATAGATTTGTAGGAGATGAATAGAAACACAACAGTATTTTCTCTTTTAAAATATTTTAACAAATAAATTATAATATTACTACACATATACAATATGAATCATACAAATAAAAGTTATAAAGTATTTACAATAACATATAAATTAAATAAGCACAAAAATATGTCTTAGTCGACTCGCAACTCACTGTTAAAACAAGATATTACCGCTACTCACCTCCATCCTCTTGAAGTGGTACCAGATATAAACAGTATCCACAATTCGATCCTCTTCTTGATTTCTCGTGACTGAGTGATAGTTTTTCAGCTCTTATCATTTGTATCTACTCGTTTCCATGTAGTCATCACCAGATAATATCCAAATGAGACCTTTAGATTGATCATTTCATATATTTCAGGTCCTCTGCATTTGGTGATTTGGTTTGGGCCCAAAAACTATGAATTTTAGAAAGTGACTTGAACTGTGTTCTCAAAATAGTAACCAAATCAACTAAATGGTATTTATGCGCTTCTTTTCTATTTATTAAATGTTTTTCATCTAATGAGTTGAAATAACTAGAACTTGCATCAAAACACTAATCTCCATACCCATCTTCTGAGCTTTTCTTAGTTTAATTAAAATTAATTTTCCGTTATTAAGCATACCTGATATTGACTTAGAGTGTCAACATGAGGTAAGCTAGATCTATATTGATGTTCAGCTGTTTAAATAAATTCTTTAAGTATTATAGCCCATCTTGCTACTTTAGCTACAAAGTCATTTTTTTCATAGTCATTGTGAATGCAGCCTAGTCAGTTACAATCTTAAACTTAATCTTAACTTATACCTGTATACTGTAGGGTAAAAGGNTAGCCCATCTTGCTACTTTAGCTACAAAGTCATTTTTTTCATAGTCATTGTGAATGCAGCCTAGTCAGTTACAATCTTAAACTGTATACCTGTATACTGTAGGGTAAAAGAGGGGTAGGAAAGTTAATAAATAACACTGTTTATGAGAATAAAAAAATGTAATTTCGAAGCCTTAATTATGAAATTACTCATTAACTGTATACAAGGCTAATAGTAATTAAAAATTTCAAACATATGCCGATGTGCAAACATTTTCTATAAAATTTAATAAAAACCTAAACTATATATTATAGGTTAAAATTTTGTGTGGCATGAAAACAAAAATTATGATAGTAAAAATGATAACTGATTGAATTTTTTACTCAAAAACCGCAAAAAAGAATTGCATAATGGAAATTTTGATGACCTGGATGACTCTGCTATACTACCTTCTACATCTGAAACTCAAATTACTTTTTGATCTTTGACTGTTATCCGTTCAAATTCATCAGTAGTTAGAGGTCAATTAGAGATGATTGAAAATAGTGTAGTCCAAATACCATATAAATGTAAACAAACATGTTTAGTTTTATAACTAAAAAAAATGACAATCAATTGTAAAAAGTAAATTGATGGTTCACTACTTAATTTTTTTTACAAAAGATTATGAACCATTTAATGTAATCAAAAAAGAAGAATTCAAAGATTTTATAAAACTGTTGAATCTAAACTGTACTCTTCCTGACTGGTATTCGATAACTAAAGTACATATATCAGCACTATACGAAAAATTTTTATTTAAAATAAAAGATTTAGTTGCAAAAGAAGCTGCATATATGACAACCAATTGTTGGATTTCTCGCAACAATGATAGTTTTATGGTCATAATTATTTATTTTATTGATTCAAAATTTGAATTGTAATTGGTTCTCCTTGAGTGTTAAATTTAATATAAGTTATACAAAATTAATTTAAGTGACACAATACAGAAAATACTTAACTAATGGAATCTAAAAAACATAGTTCTATTTGCAGTTTCTAATAAAATAATAATGCATTATCTTTATTAAAATTAAAAAAATTTTAATATTTTTTGGATATTAATGGATATTTTTCATATACAATGAATCTTATTGTATATATGCTCTAGCTTTAAAGTAACTTAATTGAGCATGTTAAAGCAATTGTTTCATATTTTAGAAAAAGTACAGTAGCTAACAATAAATTAAATATTTATCAAATGAGTAATAGCATAAGTCAACCAAAAAAACTAATTCAAGAGGTTTAGAAACGATGAAACTCAACATATTATATGTTAATTAGGTTTGTAGAATTACAAGACTATTCGTAGCACATTATGGTTACTTAATAGGGAACCAAAAAATCTTAAATTCTATTCTTGAAGAATTGTGCAAAGTTCTTTGAAGAGGCTACAAAAGCAGTAAGCAGGAAAATATATGTCTGCATCACTTGTCATTGTACTGTCTCGAGGTTTACTAAAAGTATGTGATAAAATGTTAAAAATANCTTAATAGGGAACCAAAAAATCTTAAATTCTATTCTTGAAGAATTGTGCAAAGTTCTTTGAAGAGGCTACAAAAGCAGTAAGCGGGAAAATATATGTCTGCATCACTTGTCATTGTACTGTCTCAAGGTTTACTAAAAGTATGTGATAAAATGTTAAAAATAAATATAATCTTAGAGTTCTTTTGAGATAATATTGATTGTTGTGTAGTGGAAGTACTGCCAACTGGAACATGTACATCTCGAGTAATCATCGAAGTTCAACTTTATTTAAAAGATTCTATACTACAGAGAAATAACGATCCATTAAAATGAAGGAGTGAACACAGTTATAACTACCCATACCTAAAGTTGTTGGCAAAAATGATATTGTGTTGTCTTTATACATATATACCATGCAAAAAATAGTAGTTCCCATTAAAAAAAATTTATGTTTAGATTTTTTAAGGGATAAAAAAAAAGCTATTTTTTCGTTATTCAAATTTGATTATTCAAATCAAATTTCATTCTTTATAAAAATTTTAAATTTTCATTAGTTTCCAAAAAAATTAGTGTCTTATCCTTAATTAATCACTCTTTATATTAAAAATAAAATCCTAGAAATTAGCTTAGAGTATTTATTGAATGATCTTATTGGTAAATAATTTTATTAAAACTAAAGAACATAAAAATTAATATAAAAAATTAAAGATAAGTTATTGTTAACACTATCTGTTTTTTCTATTGAGAGATATACATTTTTTTTTCCACTGATATACTAAATATTTTGTCAAATCATCCTTTTCAACACAAAACTCCCATAAGTTAATAAAGTAGATAGTTTTTATGAGCAGATGGCTAAGTCAAAAGTGCTAGTTTTTCAGGAGACCCAAAAAATAAAGTAATTTTATGTTTGGATTAATGGAACTTTTAAATTTTATATTGCAATATAACATAACTTAATTACCTAAAGAAACAATATTGATACTACTAAAAATCAGTAAAAAAGTGCAAATAAAATTGATAAATAATTTTAAAATAATAAAATTCAACTTGACCACTTTCTGACAAAATCCATCCTAATAATATATTACATTATAAATTGACTTCTAAAATTTTTTTTAGCTTCACTTCCTAATATGTGGGAACGAACAATCACAATTGGATCTGCTGGGAAAACATTTAGTATGACAGGTTGGAAACTTGGTTGGGCATATGGTCCAGAAAATATTATGAGAAATCTTCAAGTTCTTCATCAAATTGCAATTTATACATGTGCTACTCCTGTGCAAGTTAGTAATCATGGTTTCTATATTACTAATATAAAAACCTATTTTCTTAAAGCAATTATTAAGTAATTTGATTTGAAGGATAGTACAATTTAAGTTTAGTTTGATGACAAAAATTATATTCAAATTTAATTATTTTTCAAAAATTAAGGATGAGAACAAATATATTTTATTTCCTTTTTTTTTTATCGGTTTTTTAAACCCATTAAAGGCTATAAAAGCTTCAAAGGAGGTGGCCGCTTTTAATCATTGGGACGGGTGTTTAGTATGTCGCCGGAGAGAGTGATGGCGACTTCAATTACCAAACTGATCTCTTGATTGGCAAATGAAGTGGTCTGTGACGAATCTTGAAACCGATGCAGTACATATCAAGCACTGCCACGTTACCGACTTGGCTACACCGTTCCTGTATATATAAATACTAATTCAATTTAAATCTGATAGTTTTAGTCAGCATTTTCATCCACTTTTAGAGATTCTCACGTTTATTCTCTAATTTAAGTGAAATTTGATGTTCAGAAGAATACTTATTACTAAATATATGTAGATCATTAAAAAAGAAACTACTATTTATTATTTTTTAATAAAAATATGTGATGACTTATTTAATAGAATTAATTTTATAAGTAGATTTTTATGAGGTATTTGTGTATTGTCATTATAATTTAATTAGCTAACTAGCTATGAGCCTACCTACTTCAGTTGATAATGTGTTGTGCTTTAGTGGTGTTTGATACTGGTATTTGATTTTGTTACGCTGGGCTTTATAGATTTTTCTTTCTCTCTAGCTCATGCAATAGATATTAGAAAAAATATTAAGCATAAAATATTTTAGTATCATTAAAATTATCTAATAAATAAAATAATAGGTTGTTACGAACCCGTATTGTTATGGTATTAGTGTAGTGGGGTTAGTGAGTAATTAGTAGTAGACAACGAATAGTTCCGATTTAGCATTAATTAATCGTGTTCGAACTGTTGTACAAATAATATTGTGTTATAACTTGTAAGTGATCACCTTAAGACGATTATTATTATAGTTTATAAATAATTTTATTTTCTAAACTTAAACAGACTATTGTATATTTTTGTTCAATTTAAGTTTACTTTTATTTCATATTACAAATAACATTCCACTTCAACACATTATCGTGTCTCATCTTAGGTGGGACCCAACAAGGTGTACAATTTAAAAAGGCTGGTTTGCTAACAGATGGCATTACCAATACATTTGTTTGTATATAGAAAAGACAACTATAGCATTTTGGAGAGTTAATATATGCTATCAAAACCCATTTTATTATTAATTGTCATTGTACAAACAACATATTTTTTATCACTTCGAAATTGTAGAAATTTGAGCCAGATAAACAGCATTTACGTGAAGTTTTACTTTATTTTTTTAATTGTGGAAAAAGTGCATCTGAAGCCCATAGAAATATTGTGAGAGCTTATGGTGATCATACTTTAGGCATTTCAGCTTGTAAACGCTTTAAAAGTGGTGTTTTAATGTAAAAGCCAAAAAGTGTCCAGATCAGCCAAAAAAGTTTAAAGATGCAGATTTGCAATCATTATTACAACTAATTAACATTATTATAACTCAACTCTAACTGAAAAACAAATGACAGTCAAACTTGGAGTTCAAACTCAACAATTTTATATCGAATACATGCTCTGGAAAAAATTTTAAAAAATGAAAATGGGTGCCATATCAATTGAAAGAAGAAGACATCGAAAGATAAAAAACTATTTGTGAACTTTTGCCTGATTGGTTCAAAAGGAAGTCCTTTTATTTTTTAATGTTACTGGCGATGTGATGTGGATCTATTTTGACAATACCAATTGCAAAAAAGTAATGGTTAGACACAAGCCCACCATTATCATCTCAACCAGTATGCAATATTTATAGAAGGTTGGGTTGATGGAAAGAAGACTGCTATATATTTGGTGGGATCAAAAAAAACCTGTGTTTTATAAGTTGTTAAATTTTGGTGAAATGATTACTGCTGATCGCTACCGACAACAATTAATTTTATTGAACCAAGTATTGAAGAGAAAACGACCAGAATGGGGTGAAGGAACACACAAAATGATTTTACTTCTTGACAATCTTTGCTCGGCCTTATATTGTACGACCGGTGAAAAACTATTAAGAAAACATAAAATGGGACATACTACCTACCTACCCCGCACGAAATAATCACCAGATCATGCTCCATCAAATTACTACTTATTCCGATTGATGCAGCATGGACTTTTGGAACAACACTTATTTCGTACAAAGAATTGAAAAATTGGGCTGATGAATGGTTACCTTTAAAATATTAGAAGTGATACTGGGATGGAATCCATGAATTGCCAAAAAAATGGGAAAAAATTATAGCTAATACTTTGATTATTGAGTTCAATCTTTTTGGTACTCAATAAACGCTGAAATTTTGCAAAAAAAACTGTTTTATTTAATTTGTACACCTATTATTTTTTTTTATATCTACCTTTAAAATAAATTATAAAGTTTATAGGTATTTTGGTAAACCTTCCATGAATTTCTAATTTCAGATGAATTAAATAAATTATATTTTAATGAATAAACAACCTAACTTAGTAAAAATTAACAAAAAAGATTCAAATTTCTTTTTAATATCAGTATATTAATCATGAAAAGTTAAAGAATTGCCAAATAGAAAAAAGTGAAAAATGATATATGTATTTTATTTTCTTATAATTAAGATATGTATAATACGTATATTAACTCAAAAATTTGAAACTGTAAATGTTTATATCTAATAAACAAATAAAATTATACTAAAAGTTCAAATGTCATTTGCTAATAAATAAAAAACTCAAACATTTTATTAAATTCAAAATATGTGTTCCCATTTAAAAAAAACAAAGTTGACACCCTTATCAGGCATAAGAGATGAACTTAAAAAGTATGACATAGTTAATAACTCAAGAATAATGTGTAACTAAAGATAATCAAAAAAAAAAATGTTTAAATTATTGTTATTCTGTAAGTAATTAAGTGGGTTATGATAAAAAAAAAACGGTAGCACAGTGAGGTCGCGGCATAGTGAAGACATTGCATAGTAGGGTCCAGTATAGATTTAATCTGACAGTGATTAAAATCACTATCATAAGAAACGCTTCGATGCAAATCTGTAGATAGTGTTTAATTTTAAAAAATTGATGGATAATTGCAAAAGCAACATCAACTTCTATTAAAATAAAATACAAAACCCATAATTATCATACAAAAATAGTATATTTTTCAATATGGTAGCCATTTGCG